ACTAAAGTTCAAATAAATATTCCTCTTGTTGATGCATTGCAGGAGATGCCCAAATATGCCAAGTTCTTGAAGGACATGGTATCTAGGAAGAAGAAGCTCAAAGCGTATGAGAAGGTGAATTTGACGGAGGAGTGTAGTGCTATGATCCAAAAGAAGATGCCTTTCAAACGCAAGGATCCCGGGAGCTTCACCATAGCATGTATTATAGGAGGAAAGTAGTTCGGGAAGGTGTTGTGCGACTTGGGAGCGAGCATCAATCTCATGCCACTATCAATTTTCAAGAGGTTGGAGACTGGGACGATTAGGCCCACTACGATTGCATTGCAAATGGCGGATAGATCCTTGTCTTATCCGAAGGGGATTGTGGAAGACGTATTGGTGAAAGTCGAGGGGTTTATCTTCCCGGCTGATTTTGTGGTCCTTGACATGGAGGAGGATAAGGAGGTTCCACTAATTTTGGGTCGTCCGTTTCTTGCAACCGGGGGAGCGTTGATTGATGTGAAGAATGGCGAGCTTACTCTCCGGGTTGATGACGAGAGCATCACATTCTTCCCTCGACAGCAACTGCAGGAATATCACCCGGAAGCATACAATTACCTTTTCCAAATTTCTTTGGAAAAGTGGACCCTGTACAGAGATAACAGACGTCGATGGGGCACTCTGACAACCAATATGTCAGAGAGTTACAACAACGTCCTCAAAGGTGTTAGGTTCCTGCCCTGCAGAGCATTAGTACAACAGACAATGGACAAGACTCTGGATTTGTTCCAGCAGGAACAAAAAAAGTCCAGAAGCTGTCGGAGTCAAATTCCTACCCACCTCTATGCAGCCTATCTGGAGTTGGAGAGGACATCGGCAAATCACAAGGTGGAATGTGTGGACGCCGACGGATCCCAGTACACGGTCATAACTGGTCTACGCGCCAATGGAAGGGGGCAAAACAAGTATGTATTTTTTATTATTATTTTTTTTTCCATTGAAATGATTTTTTTTTTGTGTGTGTTTATTTATATATATAAATAATTGTGGAAAACAGGTTTAAGGTTCATTATGAGCAGAAGAAGTGTGCATGTCGGAAGTGGCAGACATATCGGAAACCATGCACTCATGCATTAGCCGTGTGTCGTTACCGGGCTGATGAACCGAAGTTGTTGTACGATTCCTACTTTTGGACGACGAATTGGGTTGATCAATTTTCTAATTGGAATTTTTCTCCAATTGGAAATCCTGACACGTGGCCGCAGGTGGGATGGAATTTGATTCCGCATTGGCAAAGGATCATCTCGAAGCCTGTACCCGGTCGCGCCCAAACGAGACGCTTTAAAATGCAAATGGATCGTCGGGCGCGCCGCAGAAGGGGCCGGGATCAATGCAGTAGATGTGGTGATCCCGAACATTTCGCGGACCACTGCCCGTATTCGCATCCTCATATGGATCGAACTCGACTCCGTGATGATTGGGGGAACTAGTTGTTTTGTATGTATATTAACTAATATGATTTTTTTAGATTAATATTTTTGTATTCGGATGACTTATATAATGAAATGGAATAGTTATTGAAATTTTTATTTGTTAGTGTGAATTTGATTTAGTTGGTTATTTTAAAAATGTAATCGGGACGAATAATTGCAAAAACATGTGCATTTGATAAAAAATGTGATTTTTGTTTTGGGATTTCTACACGGGTTATCACACGAGTCGTGTAAAGTCACACGGGTCGTGTGATATTATCACACGGGTCGTGTGACACAAAGCAAAATATGTTTTTTTTTCTCCCAGTTTAAAACGTATTCCAGGAATACGTTTTTGCTTTATTTAAATGTAAAACGTATTTTTGGAATACGTTTTATACTGGCAAAAAAAATGTTTTTCTGCATTATTTACACGACTCGAATTACTACAATTGAAGTCAATTTCCTACAATTGAAGTCAAATTAGTACAATTGAAGTCGAATTGGTAGCTATCATTTTGGATATTGCATGAACCATTTTCTGATACGGATCCAACTCTCGGAAGAGGTTTCTACCAACCAAGCCAAATTCTTCAGCAGGATAATCATCAAAGGACGGATACTTCCCTTTATGTGATAATTGGGTGCCTAAGAACCCAAATTGCTGGAGTCAAATCAGTACAATCAAAGGACGGATACTTCCCTTTTTCACGTTGCGCAAGTAACTGTCCAACTGCAAAGCAATTGAAGTCAATTTCGTACAATTGAAGTCAACTTCGTACAATTGAAGTCAACTTCGTACAATTAAAGTCAAATTAGTACAATTGAAGTCAACTTCGTACAATTGAAGTCAACTTCGTACAATTGAAGTCAACTTCGTACAATTGAAGTCAATTTCATACAATTGAAGTCAATTTCGTACAATTAAAGTCAACTTCGTACAATTGAAGTCAATTTCGTACAATTAAAGTCATACAATTGAAGTCAACTTCGTACAATTGAAGTCAATTTCGTACAATTAAAGTCAATTTCGTACAATTGAAGTGTATTTCGTACAATTGAAGTCAATTTCGTACAATTAAAGTCAATTTCGTACAATTGAAGTCAACTTCGTACAATTGAAGTCAA